GCATCTTAGCTGTGGAGGGCAGTGTCACTGGCCCTCATATGTGGGATCCGAACCGGGGCCCTCTGGCATCCCAAGCGAGTTCTTAACCATCGCGCCACACGGCCCGGCATACTGAATATTTTAAACTGAAGGAGTTTGTGGAAAAGGCACCCTTCTCCCTAAAACAGGTCAAAAAACCCTCATGTGAGGGGTGCGTGCCCTCCATATCCTGGAGGAATCATGATATGGCTTTTTCTCTGGCTAGGTCTTATTTTGGGGGAAACACGGTAATACGGGCTCTGCTGAGCTTATATAGCCAACTTCCTGTTAAGAACGACAACCATCCTTTGTAGTGACACGACAATGTTTTTAAGCTTCGGTGTTGTCTTTTACTGACTATGAGAACTTGGTCAAGTCTCTTCCCTCTCCGAGTCTCTGTTTCCGAATACAGAGTGTCACACGACGAGCCCTGCCGTGCGAATCAATGAGATTACACATCGGACCACTCAGTGCGCAGTAAATGTCACTTTCGTCCCTATCACTCCACCCCTCCAACCTTCAAATCAGACCTTCCAAACTCCAAATCCCTGAGCCTCCCATGTGCTTCCAGCCCTGGCTGTCAACACCATTCAGTAATAACCAGGAAGGAGAGAGTTTGATTGAGAAACCCAAGTTTCAGGTCCATTCCTAATTGTCTTGGGGAGCTTTGGGGCAGGCTGTGTCGATAATATACGACCTGGCAGTGAAAAGCCTAACTCCCCGTGTTTTACTTTTATTTGCAACGTTCCCCATCAGGCCAGCTTCCCGATGGTAATCAGCACGTCTGTCAGAGCTGGCACGGGCTACGGGGAAAGGACTGCTCTCTCAGCTGCTTTGGCAAAGCTTCACTAGCTGGGGCCTGAAAAGGAAGTCAGACCTTCAGATACCACGATGCTGTCACTTCCAGGCATGAGAGGAGCTAGGCTGCATACAGGGGTGCAGGGCTCAGAGCGGAGCGCCAGCTTGAGGTCACACAGGACACGGTTCAGCAGCAGGAGCCAGGAGCCTTGGTCTTTAGTTCATCGGAGACAGGGGTTAAGTCTGAGATCCAAGCTGGATCTCTTCTTCATGGCAGGTCGCTGGGTCTCCCTAAGTTCCTCAGCTATAAGCGGAAGTGTCTGGGGTTACCTGTGGATGGGCCTCTGGTTCTTCATGTTGGCTTAAGTCCAGGCAGCCCGTGAATCGGCGTGGCCGTCAGGAATCCCCCATCTGCTAACCGTGCCTGTCCGTGTCCTCCAGGCAACAACAGCCTCCTGACCTGCATGGAGGACGGGCTGTGGTCCTTCCCGGAGGCCCTGTGCGAGCTCATGTGCCTAGCTCCGCCCCCGGTGCCCAACGCAGACCTCCAGACGGCCCGGTGCCGAGAGAACAAGCACAAGGTGGGCTCTTTCTGCAAGTACAAGTGCAAACCTGGATACCACGTGCCCAGCTCCTCTCGGAAATCCAAGAAGTAAGTGGGACTCAGACGCCCAGGTTCTGGGGAGCTGGAGAGCCAGGTCTAGCTATCTGATTAGAAGGAAATGCTTATTGCTTTCCTGGAGGCGATACCCACCATTCGTCCTATTCTGTCCCATGAGAGCCTAGAAGGACATTGTTAATAATTGCCTATTGGCTGTGTGACCTTAGGCAAATGACTTCACTTCTCCAGGCCTCTATTTTTCAACAATGAGATGAAGCTAATAATAAGTTACCACATAGGATTGTTATGAAGAGTACATAAAGATGTGTGTGTAAAGTGCTTGCAAAGTGCCTGGCACATAGTCATTGTTCACTCAATGGTGGGTGTCAATATCCTCAGCATGCCAGCACCCATCAGAGCACTCGGGAAGAAAGGGACAGGGCAAGCACTAGCAGGGCTTGGGTCTTATTTCAATCCACATGTAACTGCAACAAAGTCTGAAACTCTTGTTTGCCCCCATTGAAGGAGTTCCATGAATGAGTTCCCCTTGATGCCTACCCGTGCTTCCCATCACCAGCCAGGACAGGTCGGGAAGCCAGGATGGGAAGGGAAAACGGGAGGCCAGTGGCTCCCGAGAAACGTGGGTGTCTGGGTAGAGCGTGGGTCTAGCCATCGGGTCCTTGAGATGTCTCTTCTTTTTATCTCTTCCTTGAAGACGCGCCTTCAAGACTCAATGTACCCAAGATGGCAGCTGGCAGGAGGGAGCTTGTGTTCCTGTGACGTGTGACCCACCTCCACCGAAATTCCATGGGCTCTACCAGTGCACTAATGGCTTCCAGTTCAACAGCGAGTGTAGGATCAAGTGCGAGGACAGTGATGCCTCCCAGGTGAGACTCCTTGAACCTGAGATCAATACATTGGTGCCTCTCCTCCCTGCTTAACAAAGACCAACATGTATTTTAAGGACTAGCTCCTCCAGGAGACTCCACAGATGCTAGGATTATATAATGGCAGACTCACCAATGCAGAATTTAAGAAACTGGATTCTAGTGATCGTCCTTTGTAATCTCTCTGAGCCTCGTTTTCCTTCCTAGAACACACATATTTTCATTGTCCAGAGCTTCTGAGCTTTGAGGAAAAAGTTAGTATTGGAACCCTTGTGAAGGAAATCGTATAGGGAATCCCAGTGCATGAACTTGATCAAAGTTAGGTTACTCTGATGGGAGTGACCACGGCTCATTTGCCAACTTTCTACCACCATCACCTCTGTATTGGTCCCTGAAGCATTTAAAATCACAGGATTCCCACTATCTTAAGACATCAATTGGCTCCTCAAGCGTAGAGGGAGAGGGAGCCATTTTAGACTAGAGGTACAGTTTTGAGAATACTGCGGGGAAAAGGGAGAAAAGGAGACGGCAGGGATTAAATTTTATCTTAATTCACGTGTAACTGAGAGAAAGCCCAGCACTCCTGCCGGCTCTTGTTGGAGTTCTGTGAATGAATTTTCCTTAATCCCCACCCACATACCATCCCCTACACCCCATAAGATGTGTGGGGTATCAAGACTGGGAAAGAGCAATGAGAGGCCAGCTGGCTCCAAAGAAGACCAAAATCCATAACAAGCTCCACCTTGACAGACCCAACCAGGGTTGATACCCCATGTCTCACAGGGGTGCAAGGGTCTTCAACCAGGTGAGGCCAAAGTTCAGCCAGCTGCGCCCCAGCGCAGGCTTCACCCTTAGCTAACCCTTATTCATCTTTATCAGCTGTCTACCAAATACCAAGCATAGCCAAACCACCATCCTCACCCCCTCTCACTCTTACTCCCCACACCCAAATAATTAACAAGTTCTACCCCTTCTCCCTCCAAGACATCTCCTAAACCTGTCCTCCTTTATCTCCAGAGCTGCCACCCTAACTCAGGCCACCACTGCCTCTATCCCGGGCCACTCTGCAGCTTCCTGTCATCACCCTGCTTTCATGCCATTGCCTCTCTCCGGCATAGTCTCCACGTTTCAGCCAGACTGGTTTGTTTAGAGCATAAACCTGATCATGGCAGTTTCCCTGCTTAAAGCCCTTGTGACCAGTGACTCCCATCTCCCTTAGGATAAAACCCCAACTCCTCAGGGTGGCGTTCAAGTCCTCACCCCCATCGCCAATAAGATGGATCTCTCCTCTGCATGCTCTGTTCAAGAGCTCCTATCACCTTTTCCAGCTGCCTCTCTTCCCCCCCAATTCATCTCCAGCCACCCCTTCCTCCCGGAACCCTTTCTTGATGTCCCTTCCACTGCTGGGCTCAGTGTCCCTCCTCAAGGCCCCGCCGTCACAGCCATGGACACCGTACACTGTATAGGTCATTTTATGCCCCTTTCTCCAGACAGTGCAACCCTGGACCACGTCTTTAATCTTCCCTGTGTTTTCAGCACTTAAGACAGTGCCAGGCACCTAGTAGGTGCTCAGGAAACGACAGGGCATGAGAAAGAGCTGCAGTGAGCAACCGGGCCAACCTCCTCATTTTCCAGTTCAGAAAACTAAGATTCAGAGAAGTCCCTCAACCACCCGAGGTGACACAGCTGGTGTTGGCTGAGTCGGAGTTGGAGTCAGAGCCCAGGTGCCCCCCTCCCAACTGCGGACAGACTGAATCCACTAGGTACACTCATGGATGTCTGTGTACCCCAATCAGGGGAACCTCCCTGACTGCCAGGGAAGTAGAAGCCCATGCTGGAACCAGCAAAGGCCAGAGATTACCATGGCCTCACGCAGGCTGACCAACTTCCCTCTCACTCCCTTACATAAAACTGTTGCTAACAGTTACCCCGACTACTGAGCCAAATCATATTCTGGCCGTGGTCATGTTATCAAACTGAAACCCAGTCTGCCTGGGGCTTGCCAAGTACCTTTCATGGCCAGTTTGTATTTAAAGGAGAGGAAAATGTAAATTTATCAGACGACTCAAGCAGTTCTGTTTGGCAACTGGCGGAGAGGCTAGACGCAAAGGAGCAGGGTATTGCTTGTCGGCTCAAAGAATGAGGGAGCGCGTGCCAAATGGGCTCCTAATACAATTGACGTTGCTAGTTTGTACTGCAAATGAATTTCCTCTACCCTCAGACCAGGGGACCGAGAGCCAAATCTAGTATTCACCTCAGATCCCCTCTTGCTGCCTGTAAACACAGCAGAAACGCGCGGCCCAGAGCATCTTGAATCAAACAGCTCGTATGGAGCGGGAATTCTTCGCTTTCCAAACAACTTCCAGATCCTGGCAGAGAGGACAGGGGCTGTTCTAGGGGAGATTCACATTCTCTCTCCCACTGCCACTAAAAGCAAATTAGCAAATAAAACCTCTACTTTATTCCTTCCTTGGGAGCCAGTGTGATGCTGGATCTGGTGTCTGAGTTCGAATCCTGGCTGCACTGCTTACTAGCTGGAGGACTCGGGCAAGTTATTTAGCTCTTTAAGCATGGGTTTCCTCGTACATCACATGGGGTGGGTGGTAATAATACCAGCTACCTCATAGTTTATTTGTGAGGGTTGGGCGAGGTAGTGAAAGTAAGGTATGACTATGAGACAGTGAGGACCCCCAGGAACTGTGCAGTGCACAAGCTGTGTAACCAGCTGTGGCAGCCCTGGGGAAGGCAGCCCTGGGGAAGGCAGCCCTGGGGAAGGCAGGAATGAGCTAACCAGCCATTCAGTTCACTTTTAGTGGAGATAGTCCCTGGCCCTCCATGTGGGCTCCTACAGAACCTGAAAAAAAAGGCAATGGCTTGAAAGTTAGCCCCAGAAAGTCAGAGAAGGGGAGCAGCTATCATGCATGAGGCCAGGATGTGGGGTCGGGAGGCCAGTATGAACCACAGGGAAACTTGGTCTCTTGCTCAAATAAACCTATAGAATATTTAGACTCTCCAGACTAGCACTGCTAGAACTTTCTGACAGAGCTCTCTGTTATGATGAAAATGTTCCATACCTGTGCTATGCCATGATGGCCACTAGCCATGTGTGGCTACGGAGTAACTGAAACACGGCTAGAGTGACTGAGCAGCTAAATATGAGCTGTTATGTAATTTTAAGTAGCTCAACTTAAAATGGAAACAGCCACACTTGTAGAGTGGCTACCATCTTGGACAGTTCAGCTCTGGACTTGGTAGTATGATCCAGTGTTATCCCTGTAAACCAAGACAAAGAACCTTAATAATAATAGCTTTTTAAACATTTTAAAGTATTTCCTGGATGCCAAACTGGTGCTGCAGGCTTTCTCTTATTTTGACAACTCACAAAAAAGCTTTGTGAAAGAAACACTACACCCATTTTACAGATAAGCAAAGAAGTCTCAGGAGGCGAAGTGCTTGTCTATGGTTCCCAGTTCTTGGGTGGTGTTGCCTGACTGACTGCATAGGCCTGCGTTTCCCGCTGCCTCCAGACATCCCCAGGGCAGGCTGGTGGCAAAGGGCAGGGATTCCATCCCCAGGCGACTGGGGAGAAGTGCTAATTGTCGCAGCGTTAATCCAGTTCAGATGCTCCTGAGCTGTCCCAGGTGATAACTCAGGCTCAGTTCTGCGTGAGAAGCACTGTGGGGGCTTTGGAGGTGACTAGGGGAGTGGGCCATCTCTGTATGGGGACAGGGTCTGTGAGAGATGCATGCGCAGAGGCTGCAGCAGGAGAGGAAAGGGCTAGAAGGTGCTTTGTGATCAGTCACGCACTCAATGGTGGGTTTCGGCAGCTCAGCAGGAACGAGAGAGGAAAGGTGGCAGGGGAATCGATAAGGCACCCCGTTCATTACAGGATCACAGAGGGTGCCTGTAACAACCTTTCTGCCACTCGTGGTGGGCAGCTGGCTCTGCCTTTCTGGGCTCTGCTAAGGACACAGCATAGCTCTCGTGCACAATGCCTCCTCCGCAAGAAGTAGCCGCTTCCAGTTTCAGGGTTAAGTGTTTCCCAAGCACCCAGGGCTCCCTAGAGGAAGTCAGAAACATCATAGACCCATAGGATGTTAGCGGTGTGCCGCCTCTCAAGAGATACCCGACTGCAACCCACTTGTTTTATAGATGGGATCACTGGAGCCCAGAGAGGGGAAGGGCTCCAGTGGTCACACAGCAAGTTACCAGCAAAGTCAGATCTTCAAGTCTCAGACCTCCTCACCAAGTCATCACACAAGCCACGTTTTCTGCCTGCTCTTACTCCTGGGTTTACATGTTAACCATGTACCTAACTTAGAGGAAACAAATGCCCGTGAAGACATTGACTGGGAACAGAGGCTAATGAGTAACAGCAGCTGCAATTTATGGAGCAGTTTCTACATGCCTGTTGCTGGGCTAAGTGTTTGACGCAGACTATTTCATTTAAGGCGCACAGCACCTGGCATTGCTGTCCCATTTTGCAGATGAGGGAGCTGTGGTTCAGTGAGGTACAGTGGTTTTCCCCATGTTATACAGCTAGGAAGTGACAGACTGAGGTTTCTGTTAATAGGTCAGGCTGCCTGCAGAGCTAAACGCTTCATGTCCTGCACTGCACTTCTCGCTTCCACCTTGCCCTGATGCTGCCACATTTCTCTTTGTCATTGTTTTGTTCTTTTTCATTTCTGCTAAGCAGAAGTCTAACTCTCTGCCTCCTCGCATCTCCCCGTCCTGCCTCTCTTCTCCCCTCCATGGTGGTGAAGTCAGAGGCTTACAGTCAAGAGGTCTGGCTCCAGCATTGGCAACCTACTCGACTGGGCACATTACCTCCCCATTCTGGCTGCTGCCATTTCTAAAATGTGGGTGACGGTTTGGTTGATTGTGAAGTTCCCCTAGAGATGGCATAGCAGAGCAGTTAAAAGCCTGAGATACTTAGAAAGCCCAATGTGTGTGTGAAGCAATAAACGCTTCACATTAACTAACTCACTCCATCCTCATAATGACTCTTTAGTAGTGGATGCCATGCTCATTTAACAGTGGAGGAAACTGAGGCACAGAGAAGTAAAGGCACACGGATAGCATGTTGTAGAGATGGGACTGGAACCTAGGCAGTTTGGCTTATGTCCATACCCTTAACCATCACACTAGCTATCACCAACCATCTCAATACTTAATTTTCCTAGTTGAGCCTTAGTTCCCAAATCTGTAAAAGGGACATAATTTCTACTTGAACTGCATAGTTAAAGGGATTTTGAAAGGTGCAGAAAACACTTGGCACATAATAGGTATTCGATCATATAATTATCATAAGCCTTCAGCCTTTTGTGCACCTGTGCAGTTAAAGAGGGGTCAAGAGAGCCCAACGTGCTTTTTATGCAGATGGGTACACAAGCACAGAGAGGCAAAATATTTTGCTGAGGGATGTTCAGCCCTCTTGAGAGATTTTTCACCTTAGTGTGCAGAATTGTGTGTTCAGAGCCAAATACACCAGTGGGCTCCCTGCCCGTGGGCTCTGGCCTTCCCAGGCTGTATGCTCTGTGTCAGGTCTGTGGTCCAACTAGACTCAATATCCAGGATCTACCCTGAGGATCTGCACTCAGTGGTAGGCAAGCCCTGACTGCACCACGATCTAGTCCTAAAGGAGGATTTGAAAAGCCAGAGAGGTTCCAGAAAGTCTGCTATGCAGAGGCACAGCCAAAGTGTGAAGGTGGGAAGCAAGAGAAGCCTGCAGGAGAGACAAGGTGACCTCGAGACCAGAAGGAAGGACATATACATAGCACGAGACAGGGCTGGACATGTCGTCTGGGTTCCGGTGGGAGCCCTGGACTGCCAGCCTACGAGCATGCCTTGTTTGGAAGGCTATGGCGTCTTAGCAGAAGGAGTCTTTTTAAAGCAGATTTAGTCAACAGCAGAAGGTGCCAGATGAACTGGGCAGGAGGGAGAGAGACTGGAGGCAGCAAGACCAGAGCCCTTATGCTCCCACCTTTTATGGTGGAGCCTTCCCAGTTTGAAATTCCCCGAGCAGATTCCAGCAAGTTCTAATACATTCTCTGCTGCAAACCGAGCTCCCCAGCCAGCTCTGGCCCACGGAGTGCTGAGGTCTGCAGCCCTTCAGGGGCGGGAGGCCAAATGCATCATATGCTCAGGCCAAGGCTCCAGGAAATTGGGGTCAATTTCCTGCTCCCTTGAGGGCCCAGCAGAATCATGGGGCTTGGGGCCTGGGGCTCTGGGAGGGAGAGTCGGGGTTCTCTGAAGGCACATGAAGCTGCCTACACTTTCCCTGAGCTTACACAGAACCTCTCAGTGTGGACTCGGCAAGCCGTCCCGCAGCTGCACGCTCAGGATAGGCCACCCTTGTCCCATGGCCACAGAGGCTTCCACCGCAACTGGACCCTCCTCGCGCTGGCCCAGGAGAGGCCCAGAGAGGGGCCCCTTTCTTCTCTGAATCCTGTCTCTTTGCAGCTGTTTTCTCAGACAGGGGAGCTTCAGCCTGCATCAGCCCAAAAGAGTTTATCCATTTCCTCATGCATGCACTCATTCATTTATTCCCTCATTCACTTGTTTGTACATTGACACACTTCATTTTTTTCTGCATCCATGCATTCATTTATCTCCTTGTTTATTAAACAAGTGCATTCCGTAACTCTCTACCTAGCCACCGATCTTTTGTTAAACAAGCAGTTCTTGGATGCACACAAATATCTATTGAGGGATGAATGAATAGACCGCATGGCCGGGACCCATTAAACATGGTGGAAGTCCCTGAGGGCGTGGAGCTGATGAACAGGGTATCATCCTGGGCCTCGGGGAGCTCATCCTCTAGGTGGGAGCAGATGATAAAGAGGTGACATGTGTCAGACACCTTAAGGAAGAACGCTCTGCCTTGAGGCAGGATGGCTTGTGCCCGATAATGGGTTTGGGCAAGAAGTCAAAGGGAGGGAAGCAGAAAGAAGAAGCAATGAGAGAAGGAGCATGGCAGTGCGGGACAACCTATGGGGCATCGCAGAACACAGGCAATTGGAACTGAAGGTCAAGGCGGGCGGAGGTGCTGTAGGGAGCAATGAGCAGGAGGATCAGGCAGAGTTAAGGGTGCGGAGGGGGGGGCGCTCTGGAGACCAGAAAACAGGAATTTAATTTAAGAGGAAGCTGAGGGGCATGGGCGTCATTCCACACACTGTCGCACTAGTAGGGCATGGTCGGCGCCTCTGGCCTCATGTAATGTCTCCTCTTATAAGCCTGAAAGAGGGGGAGAATATACAGCTTGCTCTCACATAGGTGGACCCCCTGTGCAGAAACCATGCATGGTCCCCCATTTCCGAGGGGTAGAGTCCAAATGTAAGCTGACATTGAAGGCCCCATACCTTGCTGGCCTTAATAGCTCACCCTCTTGTCCTGTCACAAGATGAGAAGCATGTGATGCCTGTGTGTGGGAGGGCTCGCTGCTGCTCACTCTGCTTCTTTGCATTTGCACATGCCCTTTGGCCTTCTAGACATGTCCATCCCTGCCCTGTGCATCCTTGAAATCGCTTTTTGAGGTATCACCTCCTCTAAGAGGCCTTCTCTGCTTGCCCACTCACAGCCGGTGAGTCCCCGTGTACCCACAGCACTGTCACTAAGCGGTCATAGTGACATGGCTGACTGACAGCTCACATGACTGTCTTTCTGCCTGGCTCGCTGAGGCAGATGCTGGCTCGCTTTCCTTTTGGACCTCGCCGAGCTGGGCACAGAGTGAGCATAAGAAATGGTCTTTGAATTCAGGAGCAGTTCTGAAGTTTCTACAGAGCTGGACCTCCCATTAGAATCTTAGGCATTCAAAGGGGGGCTCTGAGAAAAGACCGTGTCTGCAAGCTGCATTTGCCCACCACTTGGCAGAAGACTGAGGAACTGTATGATGCCTATTTTTTAAAAATTGGAGGGAGGGCACAGATAGAAGTACCCCCATACCACCCTCTTGGTGCCATATTGCTGCAATGGAATGGAATGGAATGGGGTGGGGTGGGATGGAGTGGAGTGGAGTGGAGTGGAGTGGAGTGGAGTGGAGTGGAATGAATGGAATAGAATGGAATGGTGCTGAAGAAAGGAAGGACTGGGGAAGGAGAGGAAACAAGTGCCCTGAAAGAGAAAGCTCTCAGCTGGCCTGGATGCTTACTTAGCATATGACAGCGCCCTGACATGGGTTGCTTTCTCACTGGCTGAGAGGAAGCAAACTTTGGTGTGTACCTACCTCCTCAGGAACAGCTCCAGGACCCATGCTCTTACTGTGCCAGTTGGGGTGCATTTAGCCCCGACCTTGTTAAAAATAACAACCAACAAAACAAATCCCTCTGATTGATTGAACTCTTTGAAATAACATTTAGCTGGGACTTAGGAAACCTGGGAGTTAGGCTCTCTGGGAAGCTTTGAAGCCAGTTTCTTCCCACATCGAGGCCTTCCTCAGTTTCCACATCTATAAAATGGAGATATTAACCATGTCTCTATTTTAGGGTGATTGGGTTTCCACCATTGTTAAGAAATTGTTTGGGAACACTTTCAGACCCCAGGGGAGATGAGAAATGGGTTTTCTTTTATTTTGAGAGGCGTATTATGTTGAGGGTGGGGGTTTCTCTCTTGGTCCTGACTGTGTTTCTGTGGTATGCAGGGACGTGGGAGCAACGTCATCCACTGCCGAAAAGATGGCACCTGGAGTGGCTCCTTCCACGTCTGCCAGGAGATGAAAGGCGAGTGCTCAGCCCCGGACCAGCTCAACAGCAACCTCAAACTACAGTGCCCAGAAGGCTATGCCATAGGTATGACGGATGGGTGCACGGGGGTGAGCCGTGGGAGGGGACCTTCCGGAAACTCAGGCTAGTGCTTCGCTGGGTCGTTGGGTACCTCTACCTCACAGCCCTGTGTGAGGCACTGAGGAAGCAGATCAAGGAGAGCAGACCATGCTGTCCCAAAGAGAGCGAAGGCACAAAGGTGGGTGAAGCAATCGTAGGAGACTGTACATAGTCCCACTGGAGCGCAGAAAAGCTGGTTGGTACCTTGAGGGACACAGAAGGCTCTCAGAGGAAGGGACACTTAACAGATTTGAAAGAATTTGTTGGGTACGAAATGACATCCCAGACAATAGGAACCATGTGGCGAGGGAAGGCGATCGGAAAGCACGTGTCATGTTTAGGAAAGCAATAGTGGTTCAGGGTGGCCGCCTTTATTATTTACATTAACATGTGCGTAATACTAACCATTGATGAGTGCCTGCGATGGCTCAAGCCCTGCATCAGGCGCTTTAGAGGCATTATATCGTACCCTCTCAATAACCTTCAACAGCTGAGAAAATTGAGACTTGGAGGGCTAACAGAACATGCCCCGAAGCCTGAGATCGCTCGCACTCCAAAGCCTGAGTTCTTTCCATGGTGTCTCCGTGGCCTGCAAAATGAGGAGAAATAGCAGTTTCAGAATACTGTGTGGTGATAGGCCAGTCTGCAAAATACGCAATGGGGTTCAATTCCAGGGATTTGCCTGGTTGAAACCGGGCGTCTGGACAGATGCATTAATCACAGGCTCGGAGGCTTTCTGGGGAACTGGGCGTGCATCGAGTCTGACCTCCGTTGAGGACAGTTATGCTGACCTTTTGGGCTGATTCCCTAATTGACCATGATGAAAAGCCTGGGGAATTGAATGTCCTTTCTCATGGCCAGTGTGATTTATGGGACAATCACCAGGGATGTCTGGAGCAGAAGGCTTATCTGTGCACGCACTCACTCCCAGTCACACGGAGCCAACACGTTCTACGCCCAGCAAAACGAGAGTTATCACTTCATGTACAGAAGCGAGGCCTGTGGTTGGAGAATGGAGGTGGGGTGGGGCCTGACTACCTCCTTTTGAAGGAAACACATAGCTTCAGGCCACAGAGGTTCTTCACCTAAACTTAGAGTGGGAATCAGTGCTTGTTCCTCCTGCATTTTTTCCAGAGGACTTGCTCCTGCAAGGGTCAGAAAGCACCAAAGTTCATGGTGGCCCTCTCTGAAGATGTAGAAGGTACTTTAGGATTATATAGAGTCACCAACCCAAAGGACCCTGACAGGAGGGTTGCAGAGAGGTGGAATCTCGGAGGGCCTGCCGATATAGACATTCTAGAGGGTTGGGGCAACAGGTGTAGCAACTGTGAGTCGCATCAATTAATCCTTCCAAAGCAAGGCGTCTCTCCATCATTGCTGATGGGGGTACATGGCCCTGGACGCTTACATCTGTGATGGGGTCCCTACGCGCAACTCAGGATAGTCAAGTGAATATTCAGTCATGCTCACAACTGGAGTTAAGCAGGCCCGGGAGAAAAATACTCATTAAGTTACTTCTATTAAAAAAAACCCAAAACTGTACAAACAGACTTTCTTCATGTCTACATCCACATGCAAATATATTCACACATGCATAAATAAACACAACCACAAATGCTTACTAATGAAACATGGACGCAAACACACACATCATTCAGTATACTCATGCCTGGCATGAATGCATCAGCCAGATGCCACACAGCTCCATCACCGCCAACACACAGCTACACACAGCACACACACAAATGCGACTTCGAAGCACACATACGTCACAGGCACAAGCACATGCCCCCACACATATCAAACATGCAGAGATGCACAGAAGGCAAATAGCTCATGCACACAGATGCACACAAATACATCACGTGGCCACTTTGCATGTGTGTTCACAACCACACACAGAGGTGCCGTAATCCCCAGCGCTGGACTCGCCCTCAGTAGAGTCTGGAGGTGTGGCAGTAGCATTTCTCTACCCACTGAGCATTTTTGTGGTCAGAGCACAAAGGGAAAGACTCTGTATGACATTGGCATCTAATATCCTTCCCTTCCTGCACCCCAGGCTCCCCCTGCCATGCAGATGCCCCTGTTAAGAATATGGTCATCCAGGGTGTGTGGGGGCACGTGGGGGACACTGAGGGAGAAGGAAGAGGGGAGGCAGGTTTCCCGCAGGACTCGCAGCTCCCTCTCCCTTCTCGGATCCCCCTTCTGGGCGAGGCCCCTTCCTGGGGAGAGCCCACCTATCCAAGGAGAGAAACTTGATCAAAGGCCGTGCAACAGGGGTGAGGTATGTGTTGGCATGTGGTGGGCTGGGGGCTGGAGGGCCCACCTGGAGCCACCCAGAGCAGCTCCCGCTGGGCCCCTCCCCACGCAGCACAGGGAGGCTTGCGTGGCAGCTGGGAGCCTTCAAAAACTTGCTACTGCCACCAAGGCTGCCACCCTCCCCGCTCCTCTGGGGAAGGAGAGGCGGGAGCCTGGTGAGATCACCACTCTGTAATGATGCCAATTAGGGCTCATATATCACAACACAGCAGCCTGGTCCTGAAGCCCAGAGCTGCCCAGGAGTGGGGGAGGGGAGTGCAGGGGAGAGAGCCACAGGGAAAGAGACATTAAGACAGGACTGCTGCACAGGAGCGATGGCCTCCTGTGTCCACCAGAGTTTTCCTTTTTCGTCCAGCCTCTTGGGATAAAACAGCTTTTGTCTATTTCTCAGAGTCTGCACCTTCTTTTCTCAAAATAATTTTATCATTGCAGCCTTGCTTTATCCTTATTCCCTAAAGTCCCCTTCAGAGCCGATCTCAGGACACACACACAGCACTGAGCTTCTCCGACTGCTTAGCAATTTTTCTCCTTATTCTCATCACCCTTCATTTTCCCCATTTCTTTTCTCTCCTCTGGTCCTTTACCCACCTCTGTTACTTCCCACAGCTGCCTTCCCCTCTCTCCCTTCCTTCGCTGGGCTTGAAAGTCAGACAGACAGGGTTCTAAGTCCTAGCCCTCCACTCGCTAGCCCTGGGACCTGAGCTCTCTCACCTGTGAAGCAGGCGTGATGACACTTGTCTCACAGGGCTGGGTGTGCAGGAGACTGAGCAGTATATGAAAACCACCGGGCAGGGCAGGAATGTCCCCCTTCTGGGCACAGCGTCCCCATGTTTACAGTGAAGAGGCTCTAAATATTGTCCTGCACCTGCCACCCCATGCTCGCCCCCTCTTCAGTCCTGGTGAGTCTCTTGGACTGAAGAGGATGACAAGATGGTGACAAAAAGGGCATTAGATAGATAAACTAGATATGTACATATAAGTCCGTGTGTATGTGTACAAGTCCGTGTGTGTGTGTGCGCGTGTGTGTGCACATTGACACACATATATATTCACACACATTTGGAATGGAGCCATTAGAATGGCTAATAGAATGAAATACTTAAAAAAAGACTTGACTATCTCTTGTGAATCACTTACTGTTCAGGGGCGGTCTTGGCACTAAGATAGAGTAACGGCGTCTGCAGGGCCCTGGTCAGATTCTGCTCTCTGTTCTTTGCCCACATGAATGAGCAGCTTTTTGGAGTTCTGGGGACATCTCATGGAAGAGGCTTGATTTTCAGGAGACTTTAGAATGTGTGAGCTCAGGGCAGAGAATGAATTACATGAATTACAGCTAACTTGCCAACCCACAGCTTGAAAGTCCACTATCTTCACCCAGAAATCCCTGGCCCGAGGGCTTCTGTGGCCCTCCCCTGTCCCCATTAGTCATCCATGCCTTCATTGACTCATTATCTGATTCTTTTTTTTTTTTCATTTTTTTGTATTCTTTTCCATGTATTAATTCATTCATTCATTCATTCACTCATCCATTTACATACCCATTTACTTCTTTATAAGGGACCTAAACACCTATTCATAAGTCCTTCATTGTGCTATTCATTCATTCACTTGCTCACGCACTCACTCATTTCCTCCTCCATCTATTCATTATTCACTCATGGTCTCTTTCATTCATCTCAAAATACTTACTGAGTGCCTGCTATCTGCCATGCACAGTGCCAGGCTCTGGGCATAGACTGGGTGGCACCGAGTGTGCTGGTCTCATGGAATTTACAGTCCAGCAGGCAAGAGATATAACCATTGATATAACAAAACAGTCACCAAACCAATGGGAAGGGGTAACATGACAAATGCTGCAATGGATGTCTCTGTTAGGAAAACATGGAGGACTTCTCTGAGCAGGTGACCCTGGATTGAGGTGTGAAGGGTGATTAGTAATGCACTCCTTGAAGAAGAGTGAGAAGGGTCTTGAAGGCACGGGGGAGGGCGTGAATGTAAGCCTTGTGCAAGGAGAAAGTGTGGGGCGAAGAAGCTGGTGTGTATTCATGTGCTCACCATTCACCCAGCTGGTGCTTACGAAGCCATCCTTGCCTGTCAGGCACCAGGTTAGGCTTAGAGATGAATCTACCTCCTCCCTGTCCTCCCACGGTGTCAGTATAACCATGGAAAGGAGGCACAAGGGCGTAGGGCCAACACTGGAGTGAGACTCAGTCCCCAAACACTGCCTTCCCTCAGCTGCAGAAATCAGAGCAGACTTCTTGGAAGATTTGAACTGGGTCTTGAAGAACCGTTAGGATTTGACCTTTGAGAAGGCAGATGGTGGGATGTTAGGAGAAGGAGTGAATAGGAGCAGAAGGACAGAGGTGAGGAAGTGTGGGATCCAGATGGAAAACCAAGCACGGGCTGGTTAGACTCACCAAAGCGTGAAGGTTATTATTGGGAAATGAGACTGGCCAGACCTTGGGAGGCCATGGATGCCAGGAAAAGGGGATTGGATTTTGTCCTGGATGTCAGGAGCCTTGGAAAGGGTTCGGTCAGAGGGGGACAAGACCACACTGGGCTGAGGGCCTGTGAGTAAGGTGATGGGTGCCAGTTAGATTGGAGACAAGAGAACACACTCAGGGAAACCAGAGGCAGCCATGCTGGAGAGGTCACGCCATCCTACTGCCTTCAAGGGTGGGACAGCCCAGTCCCCTGGGGACCAGGAAGTGGCAGGGCCCACACTGTGTGAGAGCAGCCCACAGGCATCGGAAGACTGGGGGCTGAGCTGCCACCTCACACTCTGCTTCTTCTCAGGGTCGGAATGTGCCACCTCGTGCCTGGATCACAACAGTGAATCCATCATCCTGCCAGCAAACGTGACCGTACGCGACATCCCCCACTGGCTGAACCCCACACGGGTGGAGGTGAGTGACAGGGGCCTCCCACCTGCGGCTCAGGGAGGGAAATGACCTTGTTGAACACTGACTATGCCCTGGTCCTGCATTAGTCCCTTTCCATATGTTAAATCGTCATCAGATTGTCACACCTCCCTGTGGGGTGTGGACGTGTTCAGTCATTTCTCCGCTCCTTAAGTATTTGGTACTTCTCTTCTGTCAGGCTCTGTGCTAAAGATGTTTTATTTACTGTCCCACCGAATCCTGATGACAGACAGCCTACAAATAAGACGAGTAATGTTCCTAGAAACTGACACACCAAAAACACGGAAGTAGAAAGCACAGAATCAGGCCACACACACCTGTGTCTGTCTGATTAGAAAGCCTGTATTCATAAGGATGGTGCTATGGGGTTTCTCTAGTATAAGTTCTTGGAAGATCTACACGTTCCATAGCCTGGATTCCTGGTGTCTTTCTCCATGCTTGAGTGATTTGGTGAGAAGCATTCAATACGTGACATGGGGAACTGGTAACGCCTATTGTTTGTGAAGCACCTACCATGTCCGTAGGGCCCAGCGCTAGCACACAAGACAGCATTTGAACCTCAGAATGGTTATGTGGAGCGGGGTGCGGGCATTGTCTGCATTCTTGACTTGTGGACAGAGAGATCTCAGCAGTGAGTGATGGGCCCAGAGTGAGGGCTCGAACTGAAGCCTGAGCCCAAGTGTCACACTCTTCCCTTAGTGCCATGCTGGCTTGCCCAGGCTAGAAGACTATGGAGGCCTCACCCCTGGCAGCCAGCATCATTGCTGCATTCATTTGGGGGCTGGCCACTCCTGCTTTCCTTTGTGTCTCCTGATCAATCAGGGGTCCCCAGAACTGATGTCGGACCCCACTCTTGTCCTCCAGGGCAGCGTGCATCTCAGGCCTCATGTACCAGCTCTGGGCACTGGCTCCCCACCCTGAAGAAAGTGGGAGAAGGAGGCAGGGGGTGCAGGGTGAGGTTCAGCTGTGTCTCTCCACCTGCCTTTCTGCCTGGGGTGCTGGGAGGCCTCACAGTCTGCCCGCCTGCTGCAGATCACACCCTGGATAGCTGGGCAGAACCTGATACTAGGTGTACTGTTTCTTAAATGAGCTGAGGGCACAATTGTGAGGGCTTACTCAGCACTCTGGGCCTACGGACCTGGCGCTGGACCTGGCCAGCTCCCCTCTGCTCCCCCATGTCCCCCAGTGTTCTCCTTCCCTCACTTCTCCTCCCTGTATCTCTTCTTCGACTGCTGTCTGCCCCATCTCAACTTTATTTCCTTTTCCTGCCTCTATTTTCACTCTTTTTCTCTTCCGTCTCCCAACGCCTCTATCACCTTGCTCTGCCTCCTCTGCCCACTTTCCCCTCCATGTCCACTCTCTGTCTCCCTCTGTCTCTCTGCCTTTGACTCTCCCACGCATCCAGGAGACAGCCTGTTTCCCTAACTCCTGCTCCTGCATCAGTTTTCTCCACTTAGCCTGCCTTTCCCCATTTGTAACCCAGAGTCCCACGTAGATTCTCCCCGAACGCCCCAGTGAAGGCTGGTGTGCTGTACTTGCCCAGGACACGCACAGAGCCCACGTGTCAGAGTCCCAAGGAGGTTGGAGATCACCAACTAGCAGCCCCTCATTCGACAGATAAAGAAACTGAGGAGCAGAGAGGGAGGGGACGGGGCCAGGGTCACGCAGGAAGAAGTCAGGACCCTGACCGGCAACGCCTTCCTCGCCACGCTGCCCCTCTCTCTACCCTACCCTGACTCCCACATGCCCTAGGGTAGGGGAACACACCCCCGCACAAGACAGACCCAGGACACCACCCTCACCAGTACCGGAGGGCTTCTTCGCCTGATCCAACCATGTCCCCCCCTCCGCCCCCCCAGCTCCTGCTCAGGCCTTTTTTTCTGCTACCTCCCGCCCTGCCACCCCAGGTGAATTCCCACCCCTCCCTCTGCGAGCCCCGGGCACTAAAGAGTTCAGTTATAATTCACTGTGAAATAAATCCAGGGGTTTGAAAGCCTGCAAGCCCCCCTCCCCAGCCCCCACCCACTTCCCTGGTCTGCTGCCCTTTATTGATGCCGGCCCTACCGAGAGAGCGTAACGAGGTTCAGACCTCCACTGGTCTCGGGGGGCCTCATTATCCAGGAGGAAAAAAATGTGGTAGAAAACGGGAGGAGGGCGAAGGGCAGAGATTGATGATTTCCAGGAATACGGCAGAAAAGCTGGCCTCTGCTGCACCCTTGCCCCTTGTACGGTGAGAGCTACAGGAATGGAGTTGCTGGTGCAGGCGTCGCCAGGCCCACACGGGCCCTGGGCAGCTCCACCTCCGGAGGGTCTGCCTCCGAGTGCCAGTGTGAGGGAGACCGTCTGGGCAAGGCTCTGCTCCAACTCCTGTCACCTTTGTCCCCAGGGTAAAAAAGTGAGAGGCGAGAACTGACAGTTAATGGATACCTACTGTGAATGGGGCATTGGATCAGGCACTTTCCATCCTTTATTTACACCTCCATCCCCACCACACATGTGTACACACACACACACACACACACACACACACACACACACACTCAACACACTGAAAGAGAGAAGGGAACCACTTCCTTCGTAGGAGCTTTTGGATCCA